TGATGAAGGATCTATGCCGCCGCCACCGGCACGCCACGACTAAATGTCGATCGGCCCCATGTTGGAGTCACCCTGAAAGGGCAGAGCTGCCACATCCCATCCAAAGAGTGCAAGCATCTTGAGATTGAGAACGTCTTCTCCCATGAAACGAACATTATCGAAAAACATGAAATAAGTCTAGAAAAATGCAAACACGAGTGTCAAATTTAGGATTTGAAACCGATGGACCGGTTCCGCCATAAAGTATCTAGACATAGCGCTCAGATCTCACCTCTGTCACTTGTCGGTGTCCATATTAATCATGAGGTCTAGTATGTTCTAGGGCCACGAAAGCGGCCGTCCTCGCTAAACTAGCACGTCTCCACGGCATCGAATCATCAAATCAAACAATAAACAAGCAAAGCAAGGAAGCTCCCAAGGCGACTAGTCCAGCGACGACCTGCTCCAGTCGACGGATTCCTTCCATTCCATCCCCGTCCACGTCGCACCCATGTCGACTCGACGACGAGGACGCACGCAGACGCCACCCCTCTCCCTGTGACGCAACGCGGCCGCAACGAGTCGCGGCACCGACAGGCAGCGTCGTCCCATCACGGGGCGGGCGGGGCCCGCGCTGCGCGGTCGCAGGAGCGTAGCAGCCGAGCCAAAGCAAGCCGCCCGTCTGTCACTGGGGCGCGGGCCCCGCCGACACGCCCTCCTGTCCACTGGCGTGCGGCAACCCCGGACGAACTCGGACCGAGACCATTCAAATTTTCTTCCACTGCCCCTAGCCCCAGCCCCAGCCCATCTCTTCCTTCTCATCCCCCCTGCCTGTCTCCTCCTCCGCTCCGCTCGCTCCCTCCGCAGATCCGCGCCAGCGAGGACCCGGGGCGAGGAATTCCCCTGCCGATGGCGGTGAACGGGGCGGCCAACGGGTCGTCGGCGGCCAACGGGTCCTCGGGGCCGACCAGGACCGTGCTCGTGACCGGCGGGGCGGGCTACATCGGCAGCCACGCCGTGCTGCAGCTGCTCGCCGCGGGCTTCCGCGCCGTCGTCGTCGACAGCCTCGAGAACTCCTCCGAGCTCGCCGTCCGCCGCGTCGCCGCGCTCGCCGGGGACCACGCGCGGAACCTCTCCTTCCACAAGGTAACGCCGTCGCTTCCGCCGCTACCGGGGCCACGCCCTCTCCCCCCCTTAGATACATTGCTTCTCCTGCCGTCCGCGCCGGTCGATTACGTGGTCCTTGGTGCGAGGATAGATCTCATCTCGTGCTTGACGTGCCGGCCACGCCCTATGTGCTTTTCTAGATAATGGAAGATCTACATTCCTGGCGTGTTCCCACGGGATAGTTGTTTTCGGGCTTTTGGCGTGTTTAATCACTCTAGTTGTGACGAATTATGGGGGGAATTTGTTTGCTTCTTGGTTGCATTTGGAGTTGGGAATATTCGGTTCTAAGAATTACCTGCTATAGATTCGTTTGCGCTTACTTACCTTTCTGGGTGATTTGAGGCTCGTTACACGCTATGCAGATCTCACCGCTGCTGTTGTGGGGCCTGCATCCATCATTTTTAGATAACCTGGTGTTTAATTTGACGCATTGCTTGTGGTCATGTTGGTGGATTTGTGAAGGGGATTTCGTTTTTTTCTGGCTGGCAAACTAGCCAAAACGATGTGGATTAATTTTGGCCAACAGCTCTGTGAAACTGTGAATGTAGGTTCTCACAATGTGAGAACGTTAGGCATGCCATGGCGAATGCAGGGCATTTGTGATCAATTCACATATTCATGGCTTATCTGGGCTGCAGATTCTCACACAATTTGTAAAACATAGGTATCATAACTTTATTTGGTCTACTGATGTTGTACTTGATAGTGGTATGGAAGACGGTGACGTGGGAAATGGAATCTGGACCGTGTATATATCTCATATCTCTTTGTTCGACATTGTTAATCATTGGCAGTTTAGTGCATGACGTGCCTGCATATTAATTCTTTTTCTTACAGTGCAATAACAATTTGAACTATTTAGCGTTATGCTGAAGCCTGTAATTTATGAATAAATGGAATGACTGTGTGCTAGAAATAGAACCACTGGTAAATCTCTGCATGATGGTGGTTTTAAAGTTATATTTTGGGTTGATTGCATTTTTAAGGTGTCACTTAGGTGGGTTGTGGGTAGTTGGGGACTAGATTTGCAACTGTCCACTTTGTAAGGTGTGCACACTGCCAGTGCCTTGTTTGGTTAATTCACAAACTTGTATCACATTCACATCAACACTACACTTTTACAGTTGGCTTTAATATCTAATTCTTTTGTCATTGTCATTGAAACAAACAGGGTGGTTAGCTAGTCAATCAAAAACTTTTTTGACCGGGAATTAATCCAAACTTTGTATTGTCTTCTATTGTTATTGACCAAATCTAAGTGTTTAGTTCATACACAAACGGCTATGAAGTGTTTAGTTCATAAACAAACGGCCAAATCCATCTGAACGTGGAGCCGTGGAAGTGAAAATGGTGACTCTATGTTAATATACTTGTGTTTTTTGTGAAAGTAAATGATTTCTTACTATATGAAGCATTTAATAAATGACTTACAGAAATCTATTGCTTCTTGTGTTACAGTTTGATTTGGATAACAAAATCAGACTATGTCTTTAACCCCTATGGATATCTTAGTTATAAATAGCTCTACAGGAACATATAATGGAACACTAAAAACTAATCTGCTTCTGCAGGTTGATATCCGTGACGAGGATGCACTGGATGCTGTTTTTGCTTCCACAAGGTGCAGCACAATCTATATTAGTAATCAATGTACTTATGTTCATTTTTTACTTGTTTAATGCTTTGGCTTCTTGCCATGTGTAAAGGCATTTACATTCTTGAAATACATGTTTTCCAGATTTGATGCTGTTATTCACTTTGCTGGACTGAAAGCTGTCGGTGAAAGTGTACAGAAGCCATTGTTTTACTATGACCATAACATTGCTGGCACAATTAATCTTTTGAAAGTCATGGCAGCCCATGAATGCAAGAAGGTACTTACAAGTCATGTATCCACAAGATACTTTGTACTCTCTGACGTCATGTGCACAAACTGCCTTAACTGATATAATTCATTATTCAGACTGTAATATGTTTCTTGGTAGTGCTTTGAACACTAGTAGCCTTTATCATACAGAAGTCACTAATTGTTTACAATATCATATTGTGTTCTGTAGAAATTCTATTTGTACATCTCATTTTAAAATAAAATTTAGGCCCTCTGCTTTCCAAGCTTTCCAATATAGTTATGATTGTATCACACTGCAGTAGGATGTACTTGTAGACCACTTATTGTAGCTGCTCCTAGCTCCAACTTCTATAAATCGTAACAATTGATCCATGAATTTCCTAGATATGGTTAGCATATTCATGGTTTTCTTGATATATGTGGTTAAATATATTTGTATTAATGATTCTGTCAACCATCGAAGGTTTGCTGAGGCTCATTCCGTTATTTTTCTTGTTCATACCAGACTGATATTGACATGTGTTTATGTGTTCAAATGTTGTAGTTGGTGTTCTCATCATCAGCTGCAGTTTATGGATCACCTAAGAACTCACCCTGCACAGAGGAGTTTCCTCTCCTTCCGCACAATCCATATGGCAGAACCAAGGCATGTTACAGTTCTTTTCCTATGCACAATCTTTGCATCGAGTCTTTTAACTGATTGTAGTGATACACATTAATTGCAGCTTATGGCTGAGGAGATATGCCGTGATATATACCGGTCAGATTCTGAGTGGAGAATCATTTTACTTAGGTACTTCAACCCGGTTGGGGCTCACCCCAGTGGATACCTTGGTGAAGACCCACGTGGAGTTCCAAACAACCTTATGCCCTACGTTCAGCAAGTTGCTGTTGGGAGGAGGCCGTCAGTGACAATCTTTGGAAATAACTATGCAACTAAAGATGGGACCGGGGTATTTTTTTTCACATGCTATTCTCAGTCAGCTAGTACTTCACCACTGAATTTTAAATTTGGTGAAACCATTTTGGTCCATTCAGTTCATGTCCCATCAACTACTAGACACTACTTAGTAACTATGTAGTAGGAGTGCGCTGGCGTACAGTGCAGTAGCTCTTTTCTACTCCCTCCGTTCCTAAATATTTGTCTTTCTAGAGATTTCAACAAGTGACTACATACGGAGCAAAATGAGTGAATCTACACTCTAAAATATGTCTATATACATCCGTATGTGGTAGTCCATTTGAAATCTCTAAAAAGACAAATATTTAGGAACGGAGGGAGTAGTTACCTATGTGTTTCTGAAATATAAATGGATCAAACACTAGAAGAAGTGGTATCAACAACAGTTGCTCCAGTTGGTCCCCTAGTTTCAAAATTTCGTAGCAAGTAATGGAATTGTGTAGCTCTTACTAAAACACAGTATTTTTTGCAAACAAATAACTGAAAAAAAATCATAGTACTTGAGACAAGTTGTATAACTAGAAGCGGTTGCCCTCAGATTTTGTTCCATTGTGCAACTTAGAGCTTTTCATTAACTTTGTATATTTTTTTACTGAGCTTTGTATATCTTTACTACTGGTTTGCCTAAGTCACCAATGTATAGACCTGTAATACATATCTATCTGGTTTGATCTTGTTAGCAACTTAATGAATGATGCATTGGTGTCATCATTTTCTCCTCTGCAGACAAATCCACAATGCTGCCAGATGATGTGCTAATTAAAATATGTTGTCATGTGGGGCACTTCTGATGTCATCAAAATTTACATTAAAGGGCAAACCCGAGTCTCCTCAGAACAGTAGCATCAGACTCCTAATGCCTGGCTTATGACAAAACATAAGCAAAGTGGACAACAAATAAAACCACATCCTACATCCGAGATACGCAATCCCGTTCGAAAAAAGTTTTGTCCTGCATTTCCTTGCCAAATGCTATTGCAAACTCCGAATGCCGTGAATCATTTTGTGAATATTGTTATGAAATCTGCAGTTAAGATTTTCTCATCTACTAAGGACACTTTTGCCTGGTGTGCAGGTACGAGATTATATTCATGTGCTTGATCTTGCTGAGGGGCATATTGCTGCACTACGGAAGCTTTTTGATAGTTCGTCTAACATAGGTTTGCACAATTGACTGCATTCTGAAATACTTCATCACAAATACGTTATACTCCCTCCTTTTAGGTTTACAAGGCCCGCACCGAATTTGAGATTTATTTTGACAACCAATCAGGCCAATAATATATGAGTTGTGTGCCATAAAATTATACCATTAGAATCTTTTTTCGATCACAAATTCATGGATATATTTTTTGGCATATAATTACTACTCCCTCCGTCCGGAAATACTTGTCCGAGGAATGGATGTATCTAGATGTATTTTAGTTCTACATACACCCATTTGTATCCATTTCTACGACAAGTATTTCCGGACGGAGGGGGTATTTTGTTAATCAAATTGATTATCAAAGTTGTCCCCAACATGCACGCGGGCCTTGTAAACCAAAAGGAGGTAGTATCATTTTCCAGACATATGTGTGTAACAACTTGAGTACTTAGCCGCTAACTATTTTGCATTGCAAATCCCCAAGCCATAGAGAAATAATTTTTATTTCATGCTTTCACTTTGGAGTCCCTGCAAGTATTGAGTGCTCAAACTCCTATTTCTTCTACCTCTAAGTGCATAGGATGCTTGATGTATCTTTTTGCCCTGTAGTTTGATCTTGTACAAAAATTCAATTCATCATGCAGGATGTGAACCATACAACCTTGGGACTGGAAAGGGGACGTCAGTGTTGGAGATAGTCAATGCATTCGAGAAGGCTTCTGGAAAGGTATGCCTGGTTTGATAATACTGCGATTTTTGTAAATGCCTGATTCCTGTATTTTTTTTAACATGGTACTCCCTCCATTCCTAAATATTTGTCTTTCTAGACATTTCAAATGACTAACACATACGGATGTATGTAGACATATTTTAGAGTGTAGATTCACTCATTTTACTCCGTATGTAGTCACTTGTTAAAATGCCTAGAAAGACAAGTATTTAGGAACGGAGGGAGTATATTTTGCTGGTTAGCATATACTCCCTCCGTTCGGAATTACTTGTCTCAGAAATGGATGTATCTAGAACTAAAATACGTCTAGATACATCCATTTCTGGGACAAGTAATTCCGAACGGAGGGAGTATGACACAATCTCCTCAAAACAGTATTCAAGTAATCCTTGGATTTACTCAGCAGATTGCATAGGGCTTTAGAGGCTTAAGCTTTGAGTCTTTGCAAATTGACAACTGACAATTGCATTGCACAGGAAACTTGGGATTAGGAATTGTGTAGCTGCTGCAATTATTGACAAAACTAAGTTTTCTTATTACAAAGGACAAACATGGAGTAGCTAGTACTTTTTTGGGTGAACAGACTGTTATGATGCTAAGCCCTTTTGTGCTGGTTATGAGTAGATGTGTGAAAATTCTACGATTCATCATACAATGGCCTATAGAAAGATTATGGGTGATTGCTAGACTTTGCAAGTACAGTTAACTGGATGTTGCAATGTTATTATGCCATGCTTGTCCAGACGTTGTTTTAACTCTCCTGCCAAATGCCAATGATAGGAAGATCTATATGAGTTGTTTTCTTCTTGTGCCTTCTTTTCTTATGCATATGTCTGTGTTCCCTATGTTAGAAAATCCCGCTGGTCATCGGTCAGCGCCGCCCTGGTGATGCCGAGATTCTCTTTGCAGGAACTGGTAAAGCAGAGAGAGAACTCAACTGGAAGTAAGCCACTAACGGACTTTCTACATTTTTTGTCAGCGATAACATTCCTTCGGTAATTAAATGTTGTTATTCTGTCTACAGAGCGAAGTATGGCATCACGGAGATGTGCAGGGACCAGTGGAACTGGGCTAGCAAGAACCCTTACGGGTATGGGTCACCCGACTCGACCAAGCAGAACGGTAGCAATTCACACTGAACAACGCGGATCGGTCCGTGCGGACTCACTTGTACATGCAACTTAGTGCCTAAGAGCTGGGATCGGTGTAGATCTAGTCGGCCAGTCATACAGAGAAAGTTACGAGATTAGAAAAAAAAAAGGTTGCTCTGTTGTTCTTCCGGTATCGGTACAAAATCTATCTTCCTCCTGCATATATTTTTTTCGTTGAGATTGTTCTAGGAAGATTTGCTAGTTTGCTATAGTCGACCAGCTAATTCAATTCTTTTACTGCTAATTGAGTTGCATTGCCTAGCAGCTGTATACGAATCCTTTTTGTGCCTGTGCTGTAATAGTAATTAGACGAGCCACAGTAATACACTCAGTTTTGGTTGTATCTTTTCTTTCATGCAGCGTGTTACCCTCCTGTGTATATATCAGAAATTTGTCTACTCTGCCGTCTGGGTTTGGGAACTTTGGGGGTGTGCGGTGCTGCATTTCCCCCCTTGAGACTGTGCGGTGCACGTATAGTGCAGCTTTTGCTAGTGACTCAGCGTGCAGAAATGCATATGCCTTGTGATGATCTGTTGCTTATACCCATGAAAGACGCAATCTCCTCATCTATATCAAGATACTTTGCCAAGCATACGTGGATAATACTTCTGCCCATTTTTTTAGAAGAATACTTCTGCCAAATGAACCACTCTCGCATGTCCGATGAGGGCGTGCGAGCAAAACAGGTGCTAGGCGCAACCACTTTCGGAAGGCGAGTAATCTGCGCCGGCGCACCAGCCCAACCCTAGTCGCAGGATGCCACTTGTTCTGGCCGTTCAATCTAGCGGGAAAAAAAAACGATTCGTGCCAGATCTTCTTCCTCCTCGCGCATCTCACGCTCGCGCATATCCCTGCATCTCCGCCGTCTCGCGCAGCTCCCCTTTGATGCCTCATCTTCCCTCCGGTGGGCTTCCTCGTCGCCGATCGGCACCCTCGCCGGTCGTCCTCGTCGTTGGTTCCCACCCTCGCCGGTCCTCCTTGTCGCTGCCTCGACCCATGCAACAGCTGCACCTGCGGTTTGCAGCTCTCATTAGCTCCAGTTGTAGCTCCGCCGTCGCCCCTCGCCGTTGATGCTCGCTGAACGGAATTGCGTCGACGACTCCCACTAGCCAATCACGCCATTGAACGGATGTAGCAAAAAACTTATCCTGTCATAGCAAAACCTGACAACGGTTGCAGCAAAAACACCGTCGCCGCCGTCGCTAGGTCGTAGCTCCTTCTTGATGGATGTAGCAAAAAAGTTCGCCGGTAGTAGCAACAACCAAATACGGTTGCAGCGAAAAACGCCCTCGCCGCCGTCGCGAGGTCGCATCTTCTGCTTGATGGATGTAGCAAAACACTGCGCCAGTAGTAGCAAAACAAAACTACGGTTGCAGCATCATTTTTTGCTGGAAGCACAGGATTGCGAACGATGGCCACCAGTAAACGACATTGAATGAATGTAGCAAAAAATACCGCCGTAGTAGCTAAAAACAACGACGGTTGCCAAATTGAAACTTTTTCCTTGCCGGTTGAAACTTTTTTCACGGTTCAAAGTTTTTCTTCCACACCCATTTGAAGCTTTTTCATGCTTGAAGCATACTCCTTTGCCGGTTGAAGCTTTTTCGCACACCGTTTGAAGCTTTTTTGCATCTGCCGTTGCCAGCCACAAGTTCGCCGTCGTTGGTTGCAGCACGTCACTCTGACAGTAGTAGCTGTTTTTGTTGCTGGTCGTAGCTTTTCGCAGCGTTGGTTGCTGTTGGGTTTCGTAGTAATTGCAAAAAAATTCCTACGCACACGCAAGATCATGGTGATGCATAGCAACGAGAGGGGGAGAGTGTGATCTATGTACCTTTGTAGATCGACAACGGAAGCGTTAACTTGGTTGATGTAGTCGTACGTCTCCACGGCTCGACCGATCAAGCACCGAAACTACGGCACCTCCGAGTTCTAGCACACGTTCAGCTCGATGACGATCCCCGGACTCCGATCCAGCAAAGTGTCGGGGAAGAGTTCCGTCAGCACGACGGCGTGGTGACGATCTTGATGTACTACCGTCGCAGGGCTTCGCCTAAGCACTGCTACAATATTATCGAGGACTATGGTGGAAGGGGGCACCGCACACGGCTAAGAATATGATCACGTGGATCAACTTGTGTCTCTAGGGG